CGTAATCCAAAGCCGAATAATATTATTATAAAATTCCCAAATAAATTTTTAAAAAAGCATTAGAAACCAGCACAAATATTAATTCATAAAATGCCTTAGATTTTGCAATTTTTCTTGACAACAAAGCAGCATGCTTAATCTATGAAGTATTCAGCCATCATCTAGTAATCGGTCCTCGCCTCTCCACGTGGTATAGATGTGAGCTCTCTGTAGATTGCCATCTTATTACTTATTCAGATGGGTGACAAATGCGAACGTGCTAATGTCACGCCACGAATTATTTAGAATTTCACTCTAAATAAATTATAAGATATAATTATAAATTATTTGCAAATAAATTTTCCATTTTTCTCATACTTTAAAATTTTCTTATTCATTTTTATTATTCATGAAAACATTAAAGATATTCGCTGGCTTATCACTATCAGCCTTTTACAACAAAAATTCAATTCTTCGAAAATTAAATTTGTTAAATAATTTAATTTGTTAAATTATAATACTTATCGACCTATCTGATTAATTAAGACAAATGCTTTCGCTCTTCTCAAACTTATATTTTTGTGCATCATTTTGTGCATCATTTAGTAACTTCTAACGGCAGCGGAACATGGGTCCTTTTTCAGAATTTTCTGAAAAAAGAATATTGAACGAGATGCTTGTGGATTAAGTAGGATAATTTTTTTTAGAAGATCCATCCAGTATTACTGGTTAGGCTCGCTTTGCCGGCTTGTCGCACTAGGCTCTGCCACGGAGCCCGTTTGCGATAGAAGTGCAGGTGAATCTGAAGTCGTATAATATTCCTATAAAATATCCTAAACAAATCTTTAAAAAAGCATTAGAAACCAAAATAAATATGTATAAAATGCCTTAGATTTTGCAATTTTTCTTGAATTTTATTCTCAGTCAAAAATTCTGAAATCAAATTCTGATATGCTTAGATCAAAGATTTTAAAAAGAAATTCGGAAGATATAACAGAAATATCGCCAATTGAGTTTCACTGTTAGTAGTCAATGAATGGATTCATTTATCGCAATGCCTATGAAAATTAGGCCTTAAAAATTTGCAATGTTCAACATTGCCACTAGTTGGAATCTTCTAGAAAGCAACTGTGGTTCGTTGTTGTTGTTGCATTCGTTATTGTTAGTTATTTTGTTCTTGACTATTCTTTTCAGCATATCGAACTATGGTTCGCTCGCATGGAATTATACTTCCCAATCCATAATTTAATTCATCTACACAACTAACGATGAAATGATTAGCCCCGCGGGGAATCGTGGCTTCAAATTAAGCAGCAATTCACTAAGGCGTCCAATCTCCACTGGGGAAATCTTGATTCTATATTTTGTTGCATCGATATTTTCCATCTTTAAGGCACGAAGTAAGCCAATGATTTAATAAATAAATATACTGATCATATTTAAGCCAAAAAAAATATGAAAACATTTAATAAGCCTCGTTAAAACTGAAAAAATTTTGCTAATAGAAAAATTACAAAAAAATTACAAATTACACTACAATTACAAACTTTGTAACGATCATACTTTTTTCATTCCATCGAGTAGTTATTTCTTTTTTTCTGCAATCCATCTCGGCACTTGTAAATGCGATAGCGGTTTAGTCCTCAGTTTTCTGATGGTGGACAAATATATTCAACCGGTACCATCTTACTTGGACAAATGATTTGTGATACTACTGTTATATTTGGATTCTCCTTTCTCATCAACTGAATTCGCTTGTAGAATCGTTCGAGTTCCAAATCATTTTGCATCTAATCTAAATTGCAAAATGTAAAATAATTAAATATTGCATATTTAAGAAGAAAATGGCTCACAATGGATCATTGTGCGATGGATCATCGTTATTTGTGCAATGGGTATAGGTGAATAAGTAGCCTGCAATAAGTGAATAGCCATTATCGCAAATACCTTTTATACAGAAGGCGTTTGAACCGCGCATGGCTTCTACATGACTTTTGAGGCGAAAAAGGATGTGAAATGTTTCGTATATTTTGAAAAATTGCTGAATTATTAGAATTTTTTGCACTGATAAGATTGGGAAAGCAAATAATAGTGCCTTTTTTTGAACCTTTGGAGATTAAACTAAAATTTATAAACTATATGTGAAACTTACAATATAAAAGGCGAACATTAAGAACTATTCAACGACCGCGACTAACGTCTAAACTATTGCAATAGATGGCAATTTTACGAAAATTCTACTCAATTTATCAGAAGCGATATTTTGAATTTTAATGCGATTTGTTACGGGAAAGATTAAATGGTTGAAAATTTATTAGATCCTTTTATAAAATATTCTTTATATTTTGAAAAAATGTTTTAATTTCAACATATGTAAAAAAAAAAATTTACAATAAAGAAAAATCAATAAAAAAAAAATTAAGTTGAGAATTAAAAATTAAAAATTAATTATTATTATTGAAGAAATTTGGATGATATAATAGTTATAAATGATATATATTATTAAAATTTACTAAAATTTTTTAATGCCATAAGTTCTTTTCTATTTTAAAAAATTTTTCCATAGAAAAATTTATTCCATTCTTCTTTAAAAAATTTGAAGATTGTCAATTCACAGAATTTGTCACGAGCATTCCTCGGTGATAAATTGGCGAACTTTGATCACACCCTATTGCGACTATTTTTTCAATGCCATCCAGCCAGTGTTTAAGGAATATTGGCTTCGATCAGTGGCAATCATACGTTAGAGGCAACTTAAAGGCTAAATTCTGGGAAGAGCTGGCTTTCTCGAAAAGGCTTAGCATTTCCGCATATGAAATTAATGCAATATAAAAGAGATTTAAAAAAATTTTCGTTTCAAAGCAGTCTTATTCACATTTGGCAAATACGTGTAAAGCTATGTTAATGTCAGTAATTCACCAAAGATTTTTGCACCTCGTCTTTATAACAAAAAAAATAGAACTTTAGTGTCGGCACTCCGAACTGAGCAACAACTCACTAAGCCACCCTATTCCTAACAATAGCCAAGATAAATAAATATATAATATGAATAACACGTCACAAATCTTCTCAAAGATTTATTTTCTTGTTCGATGTAAAATCACTAAATTGTTATTTCATTTTTCTGATAATCATTTAGTTGTTAACGCTTCTGGTAAAATTGAATAAAATTAGTGCAAATAATTCGTTATTTTTCAAATATGGTTTCAAGCGTTAGGGCTTCTTAATTCTACTGATCGTATTTTATATTCAACGCTAATAATCTTCTCATAATTCTTTTAAAGATAAAAAGCAATAATTTTTCGAACCATTCTTATATAAATATGCAAAGAAATAAAAATTTAAAATGAAAAATCAGCAATTTCAGACCATCTTTTTCCTCTTCAATAGTCATTTAGAAGATTTTTTTGCATTTCAAATGTTTGTTTCCTTACTACAGGCCTTTCAACGGAACTCATTTCTATAAATATAATATTTGCAGTGATGAATTTCCCATCGTTTATTGTTGATTGCTGCCCAAATTAAAATGGCCCATTTCGAGTTATTTTTCATACGCATTGTAAACAACTGATAATCCAAAGCCAATGAACATTTTAATATATGGTGAAAGAATGAATTTATGATAGCATTTGCTTTTATAATTGTAATGATACCGCAATCGCCACTTGATTGCGTTAGCATAAATTATGAATGCGATGAAGAACCTGAAAAAATCTGACTGAAATTTTATTGATGTAGTGTCATGATGAAATTTTTTGAAAAAATTATTCTCCACGCGTTAGCAGTTAACTATTATTCATATTTCCTAAAGCGGACAAATTTATGCCATAAGCAATGAAGTAATTAACAAAAATATTCCATGGAAAAAATATTTTGAAAAATAAATGAATTTTCCAAATTAATATTTTTCTTTTATTTATAGTAAAAAAATTTATTTTATCGCAGAAAAACTTTTCAAACTTTTCAAAATAGCAAAATTAATTTATTGTATTGAAAAAATTTTATGCCTATTTAATTTTATCAGAAGTGATATTGTGAATTTAATCCGATTTATTACTATTATAGTGAAATTATAGTGAAAAAAAATAAATTTTGTCTTGTAATTATTATTATTTTCCAAATTTCTTAGATAATAAATTCTTGAATAATTTCCTTTTTTTTATTAATTTTTTTTTTAATTTTTTTACATATATCGTAATTAAAACTTTTTTTTGGCTAAATATACGAATATTGTATGAATGGATTTATTAAAATTTCTGCCATATAATCCTTCCCGTAATAATAATAAATCGGATTAAATCTGATAAAATTAAGTGATAAAAAAACTGAATAGGATTCGTATAAAAATTTATTGCCATCTTTACACTGGTCGTTGCCGTTTGATAATTAATGTTGATTTTTTATATTGTAAGTTTCAAATTTTTGCAATTATTTTATATCTATGAAAATATGATATGAGAAATTTTTTTTTCAAGCTTATTGAATAATTCTGACAATTCAAAAGTTATTCTCGAAATATTATTTTATTAAGATTGCCTTTTTTCACCTCGAAAGCCATGTAGAAGCGTGGTTATGCGGTTCAAACGCAAGATTGCTGTCATTTTGTTACAATCCTTTCAACGCCTTCTGTAGGAAATGTATTTGCGATAACGGCTATTCACTTATTGCAGGCCGTTGCACAAATCGAGATGATCCATTGTACAATGTGAGCCATTTTCTTCGTAAATATACAATATTTAATTATTTTGCATTTTTCAATTTTAATTTTACATTTTGCAATTTAGATTCAAAAAGATTTGGAACTCGACCGATTCCACAAGCGAATTCGATTGATGAGGAAAGATTCAAATATAACTATAACACGAATCGCTTGTCCGAGTAACATGGTACAGGTTAAGCACATTTGTCCACTGTCAATAAGCTGGGATCTAAACTGCTATCGCATTTGCAAATGCAAAGATGGATTGCGCATGAGAGGAGGCAATTGCGTGGATGAACGAAAAAAATATGATCGCAGCCAAGTATTTTTGCTGCTGAATATTCTAAAAATTATCTAATCTTTCTTTATCGTCAAAAATATTCTCAGTTTCATCGGCGTTGAATGCTTCTATATTATTTTAATTCTTATGATAGTAGCAAATGTATTAAATAATTATTTTTATTTTTTTTGATAATAATATTGCGCTTAATTTTTAAATCGCTAAAACCTATTATAAAATGGGAAATCAGTTTTTTTAAGGAAATTTTGAAGGAAAAAAATGTTCCTTTTGTGTTTTTATAGAGAATAAAAAAAGCACAAAAACACCGAAACTTATTATCCGAAAAATTTATTATTATCGTCTGACCCTTGTAGCCAATGCAGCCAGCCTAACCTGTAATGGTGAGACCTGTTACAAGAAGAAAAAGAAGTGGAAAATGTGATATTGCCATAGCAGATTTTTTAAAAATATTTATTTCATCCTTAAGTTCGACACTAATTTTAATAAGAGATTCAACGGGACCTTTTTAGACGTTTTTTCTGCTTTTCATACTTCTCATTAGTGGTGATCAACTTTCTCTCATCTTAACGGTCAGTATTAGTGAAGTATTAGTATCCTCTATAATTTTCGCATGAAAAGAACGGACAATTCATGTTGCATCATTACTGGTCAATTTCTTTTCGAAGCCATTTTGAATAAATATATATATATAATAAATATATATAATAATAAATATTTCTCTAAAGAATATTTCTTTTTTATTTATTTTTAAATCCTTTGCGTAAAACGAATATTTCTGAAAAGACGATTGATTGCCTTTAGATAAATGATTAATTAATGATCTTATTCCTCTGAGAGAAATACAGTATGAATAGTAACGAAATAGATAGTTGGCTGCCAGGAAATCGTGGTGGCAGAAACTGGTTTCTGGATTTAACTCCAAGCAAGTTCCTACTTGATCATAGAAGTCATCTTCTCCTCTCCTCTGTTCTAGTGTATTAATGGTTGAAGCATAAACTTTATCGATGGTTAAAGGCATTAAAGGTTTTCACGAAATCTTTCTATATCCTGCGAAATAATAGTTAATAATGTGATCTTTTGAATACGACTGCCCAGTGCCAGTGCATCTCAACTCACTGATGTCTAAGATGCCAGTTTATTTCATTGTGATAAGTTTTCTTGTATCTTATGTCCCATGTGTCTAATTTAATTCTTCCTTGCAGCAGGAATGAAATTCACGTCTTTGGTGGCCCTGTTTTTAGGAACATTTGTACTTTGACACATACTCTCAACATTCTTAGCTCATTTTTCTTAGGCATTTTTTTTAGGTGACTGAAAAAAGTGAAAATTATTTTAATTTTTTTAAGGCGCTTTTGTAATTTAAAAAATGGGAATATGTTCAAAAAGCGCTTTATTCCAGACAAAATTAAATCCTCCAAAAATCTTAGAGGTCTTACTTGTTTCACAGCAAAGTTTGTCTCGTCCGGTTGTCCTATGGGCTTAACAAAAGATAGTGAGAGATTTTAAGAAAATGAAATATGATATATATAAAATTAAATATATAAATATGATATATATAAAATTTTATTATCTCAATTATAATTTATTTTTGATTTCGCGGTAAACGGAATTTTCATTTTAATCGCCAAATATCTTAAATTAAATTTATATTCTATTCCAACAAGAATTTAAGAAAAATTTTAAAAGAACTTTAAATTTAGCTTCAAAAATTTAAAAAATCAGTAAAAAGTGAAAATGCAAGCGCTTTTTTTCCCTAACATTCGGATTTTTTAGGTAATCACAGATTCCATTTCTAAGTGTGGAAAAGAAAATTGTCGTCTCGGCGAAGTTTTTTTGGACTTTACGTGCCGCCGAATTGGAAAAAAATGTGGAATTAATATGATATTCAATTTAATTAATGGGATTCTTAAAGGAAAATCATGCGTTATACGATGTGAATGTGAACGAGAATTTGTTGGAAAAAGTGGCCAATGTGTAAGGTCTTTGATATTTACGAGGAAAACGACATCTGAGAAAACAACAACAGAGTTTATATCATCCGAGTAAGCATTTGCAGTTGTTCTTTCATAAATTCTAATTTTAAAATGCAATTTAATAGCGCAAATTTCAACGATATGAAATTTATCAACAATAAAATCTATAACTGCAGAGGGATTAACTCTTTTTCACATTTAATTGACATTCAGTTTGCCGAAAGTTGGTGAGAAATTTTATAATTCCGATTGTCGACAAATCCCGCTGGCTTGCGGAAAAAATATGAAACTTATTTCTATATGGAAGAATTCCGTCGACCAGCAAAACCGATTTGCTTGCACTCAATTTTGTGCTTGTAAAAATGAATTTGTCGAAATGAACGGACGATGCATAAAATCGTAGAGTAGTTTCCGTATTATGCGTATTATAAATGCGTAGAATTTGTGATTATCACTTTTTTTATTTTATGATACGATTTTTATATTTTGAGAATTTTCCTCTCCGAAAATTTAAAATCGACTTGATAAAAAATTTATAATTCATAAAATTTTTGTAATTAAAAAAAAAGTATTGAAAATAAAATTATGCTTATCATAAATTTATTATGAAAAACAGGCAAGAAAGTATAAAATGAAATGTTTGCATATTTATTTGGAAAAAATTCGTTTGAATTTAAATTATAAAAAAATATACGTATTTTTTGAATGAACGAAATTCTTTTCGAACTTTGGCGTACCATTTAAGATTTCCTTACCAATTCGATTCCTTGTGCTCTCCTTTGGCATCTACAAAATTCATGAATCTCCCTTGTATGAAAAAATAGATAAGTTTTAAATAAATACTATTTTTCTGAGTAGTAGCTTAAAAAAAATCGTTTTCTTTTCCAACTTTTTTAAGTACTAAAGATTCTATGCAACCTTTATTAGCCAGCTAACATGAAATTCAATATTAGCTAACTTTAAAGGAAACACATTATCGGAATGGGAATTGGAGGCAATACAAAGAATCTAGAAAACAGGGAGATTAGCCAAAAAAAGTTGGAGAAACCTGTGGTTTAGATTTTGAAGCGAATCCTACAAATGATGGATTAAGATGCTGGAGAAATTCTATAATTTATTGCACCGATAATGTCCATTTTTGAGGTGAAAAATAAGGCAATAAAATGACAAATAAATATATTTATCATATTAAAAATGAAAACATTTAATAAGCTTCGATAAAATTACAAATATTTTTATTATTAGAAAAATTACATTTGTGACTATCATACTTTTTTTATTCCATCACGCAGTTATCTCTTCTCTTGTGTAGACCATTCATACATTTGCAAATGTAATAGTAATTTCCCAATTTTCTGATGGTGGATAAATATGCTCAACCAGTACCATGTTACCTGGACAAAAGAATTGTGGTACTATAGTTATGTTCAGATTCTCCTTTCATTATTTTCATTCTTTTTCATCAACTGAATTCGCTTGTGGAATTGGTCGAGTTATTCATCCTTTTGCATTTAAATAAAATTGCAAAATGCAAAAAAAAATATAGTCTGTTCGTGAACAAAATAGTTTACTCTGTAGTATGGATCATTTCAATTTGTGCAGAGGTCTGCAATAAAAGTATAGTCATTAATATTTCATACAGGACCTGTTGAAAGGAATGAAACCCGTAAGATCAAGGCTTCTATTACATGGCTTCTGAGAAGAAAAAGAATAAATATTATTTTTATTGCTTTCGATAATGTTTCATAAATTTTGGAATAAATGGTTGAATTACTGCAAATTCTATCACTATAACTACTACTATAACTTTTTTATAGATATAAAATTGAGAAAAATTAAATGAAAAAAACTGCTTTTTTTGCTTTTTTGTGCCTTTACAGATGAAACTAAAATATGAAACTTAGAATATAAAAGATGAACATTAAGAATAATATTATTCAACGACCGAGACCAATGTAAAGATGGGCAATAAATTTTTGTGCGAATCCTATTTATCAGAAGTGGTATTCATTATTAATCCTATCAATTAATTAAGGACCACGCAATAACTATTCGATAAAATAAGTGGCTTACAATATTCTGCGAAATAATCGAGCACAGTACTGTATTGTTTATTAAGATGCAAATTGTGGGTAATTAGAAAATTTCTTTCATTCATACGAATAACTTCAAAATTGCAAAAATGCTATCCGAGAATTTCACCAAACCTTCTTGCACATTTCATTTTTAACATAACATTTTTAACTATATCTTAATTTCGCATGGAATTAAGATAAAATGTTGAAATATATTGTGATATATGAATTTAGTCGAAATTTAGTCGTTTTAGGTAAAAAAGTGAGCAATGACGGGAGTTCATCGAAATCGAAATTGCTGTGAAAATATTATATAATGGTAATTTTTAAAAATAATTTTTAAAATAATTTTTATTATTTGGCATAAATCATGAAGAAATTCGGTTCGATGAGAAGATTATACGAATAATAATGAACACTAAGCTGACTACTTAAGTTATCGAATTGTACGGCAATTTTTACGCTATTCTTTTCCATATTTTAAATATTATAAATTCAAATTTCAAGCATAAATTTTCCGAAGCGAAACAATTTTCCGATCTTTCAACAGTGACTGGGATTTGCGATTTGTGGTTTGTGATTTTATAAATTACTATAACTAAAAATTTCCTCTTAATATAATATAATAACTTTAATATAACCTCTACAATTAGTTATTAAAAGGATTCTATGAAATTGGAAGTTTTCCATGATTTACTCATTTTTACTTATTCGGTAGCAGAATGAAGGGAAGGATTAATAAAACAAATGGATTTTTACGAGCACATATCGAAAGATTCCTATCGTCATACGCATATTTTTATTATATCGCTAATGACCACTGTCTAAATCAAATATAAAAATTGTGGATATCAAAAATTTCCAGTTTCCAGTAGTTTATTATATTTTACTAATCCATCAATGATTATATTTTCCGCCCTCCCCTCCCCTCCGTTTCTCATGGATATATAATCGAATATAATGGTGGTGGTGATGCCAATAAATACAACACTGCCTCCTGATGGATTTATTTTTTTCATTGTTCTTCAATTTATTTTTCTCAAATGTAAGCATTTTCTAATTTTTTGTAAATTTTAGGTAATTTTAGGTAAATCAGAATATTGTAATGACATGATAATGAGCATAATGAGGTTTTCAGGGAATAAGATACTTTGAATTTGGCGCGGCTTCTATGACAATATGCCCTGAAGATATGGTACCAAAACCCTTATGTTTCAACTTTACGAGAAATCTCTGCGTGCATTTTTGCTTATGCGCCAGTGGACTTGTTTGGACGGGTGAAAGATGTGAACGGCTTAATATGGAACCACGTATCTCGCGAATTACATAGAATTTTATTTCTCAATAATATTACTCTAATATTATTAACAATAATATGCAAGCATATTTTTATTTTATTACTTTACTAATTTTATTACTTTACTTTACTAATTAATTTTCTGAATCAATATTAATACTTTGATTTTAATAATAATAATTTAAACAATAATAATTTAATAACAATAAATTTAATACTAATAATTAAATAAAAACAAAAAAGACATTCATTGTTTATGGTTATCAGCCTTTTACAATAAAAATTCGTTTTCTTCGAAAATTACTGACGGCTAATTTGCCAAATTTGTCATAATGCTTATACGGCGACTTATCTGAATAAATGCAAACACTCTTCTCAAGCTTATATTTCTTTGCACGATTCAGTTAAGTACCTCTAACGGCAACTGAACATAGGTCTGTTTTTCAGAATTTTCTGGAAAAGTGAATATAGAACGATGTATGTTTAAGGATCGAATAGAATAATTTCTTTATCCAGCATTACTGGTTGAACTCGCTCCGCCGGCTTGTCACAATAGATAAAACTGCCAGGTAGCCCGTTTAAAGATTTGTGATAGAAGTGCAGGTGAATCACTAGCGTAATCCAAAGCCGAATAATATAATTATAAAATGCCCAAACAAATCTTTAAAAAAACATTAGAAACCAGCACAAATATTAATTCATAAAATGCCTTAGATTTTGCAATTTTTCTTGACAACAAAGCAGCATGCTTAATCTATGAAGTATTCAACCACCATCTAATAATCGGTCCTCGCCTGTCCATATGGTGTAGCCCTCTGGAGATTGTCATCTTAATGGCGACTAAATCGCTTCACAAGCACAAGACTTTAGCAACAATCTACCGAGATGTAGCATCTTTTCAAAAATTGATTTAGCCCCATTCCTTTTGAACCTGTGGTATGGATTTGATTTTCAACGCTTGGACCTGTATATTTTATCATTTTCAATTCAATTTATCACTTATCTTAACTTATAACAATAAACTTGAAACTATAATAAACTATTAACTATTAACTATTATAAACTTATAATGATTTTATTTTCCTTATATAAATAAATACAAATGAAATAATGGGAAATAAATGGAGCTAAATAATGTAAGTAATAAATAACGAAAATAATTATGGAAGACCGTACTCTTACACTTAATTGCTAGTTGCTCTGCTTGCCATGGTACTTCATTATCTTTAATATCAATAATCTCTTTAAATATTCAAATATGGATTCTGAAATATAGATGCAACGTATGATGCTATGCTATTCATTCCCCACAAGAGTAAATCCTGGGGATGTTGATGACTTGCCTATGCTTCTATCGCTAAGACTCTCAGGTCTCTCTAGCATATTTGTCCAGTGCGATAAGCGGGTTCAACCAGTAATAATGAGGATTCTTTGAGAAAAATACAGTTAAACAGTAAAAATTTCAAACAGTTATTTTATAAAGTGATATATATATCACTTTTTACTACAATTATTTATTATTTTTACTTATTACTTTATTATTTACTTATTACTTTTGCTTTTTTTACTTTTACTTTTGAATTATTATTTTTGATATCGCTAATTCGACGATCAATTATGCTAAAAAGATTCCGTCAATCTTATTTATTTCACTCCAAATGCGTCGAAAGTTCCATTGTTATCGATAAAAAATAAGAAACATAAGAACGCAAAGTGCGTTTAAATCGGTAATACCAACAGTTTAACAGAACAATTTAGAATTTCTCTCTAAACTGCAAAATTTTTAAAGCGGAATTTTTTTCGGTTTAGCTATTCGATTTTTTTGCTACTTCTAAGTAAAAGTCATTTTAAACAAATAAACTCTTAAATTTTCTTTTTTTTCGCATCTTTCAAAGGAATGAATGAATTTAGAAATGAAATAAAATAAAATAAGGAAATTAAGGTTTGCAGATTTTATTTTTCAATTATTTTATTTATTTATCTTTTCAACTATTTGAATAAATTTGCGAAATAAGTGAAAAATGTCAGTCTGAATTCGAATATCATAAAATTATTCGCGAAAAACCCTCAAGAAATTCAACCTTTCAATAACATTCAATAATTGTTAAATTTGAAATGTTTTGGATGGCAGAATAGCTTAGTGGATTTCCATCCTCATTTCGGATAGGAGTGTTAATACTGTGGTTTTATTTTCGGATAGAGCATCTTCTTAATGAACCCGTGTCTATGTCCTGTATCGCCTGTATCGCCAAGTGATCCAAAGCTTGAAACGAAACTTGCAAATAATTACAACACTGTCTCCCGATGAACTTAGTTTTTTCAATATTCTTTTTTTATTTTTTCATTGTTTATTTTACTTATTTTACTTATTTTTCATTGTTTATTTTACTTATTTTTCTGCAATGTGAGTTTTTTATATTTTTTATAACATTTAAGTCGCTGTAGCATAAGATTTTCAGGTAATAACTTGTTTTGAATTTGGCATGGCTCCTTCTTTGATGATATGCCTGAAGATATGGTATGTTTTAAACATATGGAAATTTTCTGCGTATATTTTTGCGGATGCTTCAGTGGATTTGTTTCGACTGGTGAAAGATGTGAGTATGCTAGTAATGCCACGAATTATATAGAATTTCACTCTAATTAAGCTGTAAAATTATTTGTAATATTTTCATATTTTTATTTTTATTTTACTTATTTTCTTATTTATTTTTAGTATCAATAAATACAATAAAGATATTCGCTGGCTTATCTTTGTCAATTTTTTAAAATAAAAATTCAATTCTTCGAAAATTATTGACGGCTATCTGCAGATTTGCCAAATTTGTTATAATATTTATGCAGCGACTTATCTGAATTATTTGTTATTGCTATATTCAGTAATTCTACTTTTTATGTATATAATTGAAATAAAAAAATAATCATTTATTACTTTCCATTAAAAACGCTATATATACGCTTATGAAATCGGCTCTGGGAAGAGGTTGTTTTTGGGGTTGTGGGTGGTTGTTTTGTGGTTGTTGTTTCGGCTTGGTTTTTTGTGCTGCAATTTTCCGTCTCTTTTTCCCTTTTTCTTATTTGTTTTATGTACGCATAAACTTGTAAAATTTAAGTCGTTGTTTATAACTTATTTATAATAGAATTAAGAACTTTCTCAAGAGCCTACTTGGGTAAGACAATAAAGTGTTAGATCACCAACTGGAAACCGCATCCCTCTCGGAGTGAAATTTCGTTTGTCCAACATTTTGTGCTGAACACCGTTAATTCATTCTCCTCCAAATATCCGTTCGTCTGGAGCACTAGGCAGCATGGAGCATATGCTCGGGAGCATCTTGGCGATAAAACTACAGGTGAATCGCTAGCAAAACATAACTTGTACAGAACCGCAAGGAACCTCCCGCTGGAAGTAGAACCACAGCATCGAACAATAACCATTCTAGGCCTCAACAATATACTTCAATGTTTCTTCAATGTTTTATCTTCTAAATTTCGAAGGCAACAAAATCGTTCGATGCAAAATCCAACTATAATTGTATTGAAAATAAATGATGCAAGAAAATATGGAGGAATTCTCGAATAGCCTTTTTGAAAATTTACAACAATTCGCATGAATGAGGGTTCCTTGTAATTTCTGATTATTATGAATTTTTATTTTTTTACTATGCTCAATTATTTCCGCAAAATATTTCAAGCCAATTTTTTTATCGAATAGTCGTCGCGCAGTCCTCCCATTATAATTAATACGATTAATTTTCAATATCACTTCTGATAAATAGGCACAAAAATTTATTACAATTATCACAATGGTCGCAGTCGCATTCATTGCTTAATGTTCGTTTTTTCGTATTGTAAGTTTCGTATTTTTTTAATTTTTTGCTTCATCTGCTTCAAAGATACAAAAAAAGATATGGTTTAATATATTAATGAATACATCTATTTATTGATTAATTACCTTATTTTTCACCTTAAAGAATGGAAAGTATCCATGCAACAAATTATAGAATCGTAATTTTTGCACTATTTTGATCCATCATTTATGCGATTCACTTCAGAATTACCATAGGCCTTTAAACTTTTTTGGCTAATCGCCTCAGGCTAATTTTCTAGTTCCTGGTTCTTGTTCCTTATCCTTGTCATGTGTTGTGTAAGTTTCGTAGTTCGTATTTTTTATTTCTTTACCTTCACAGCTTCTCTTTCAATAAATTTCACAGCTTTTTTGTAAATTTAGCTAACCCTTATATTGAAAATTTTAGGTTAGGCTAGTGATATTTCCGTAAAAATCTAAATCTTAAAAAGTTATACTGAAATGGGAAATTTTTTTCTTCGATTTTCTTTATTAACTCAGAACTCAGAAAAATAGCTAAATTTGTCTAAAATTTGTCCTTTTTTTCAGACAATTTATGAATTTTTTTAGATCTCAAAGGAGTGCATCAGTATTCGAATGGCTAAGGAAATAGTGAATGGTACACCAAAGTTCGAAAAGAATTTCGCTCATCCACAAGAAAGGTATAATCATTTATAATTTAAATTCAAACAAATTTTCGAAGAAATTGCTGCAAACATTTCATTCTATAGTTCTTTGCCTATTCTCTCTAAATTTACAATAATAAAATTTATTACAATTTAACATAATTTTACTTTTTTTGCTTAGAAAAATATTTTTTTCTAATTGCAAAAATAAATTTTCAATCAATTCGATTTTAAACTTTCCAGGAATATAAAAATATAGAAAATTTTTCATTGGAAAAAAAGAATTCGCTTACGGAAAAGGAAAAAAATTTATGAAAGAAGAAAATAATCAAAATATAAAAATTATATAATAAAAAATAAAAAAGTTATAATTTCGCCACAAAAAATAATATGCATTTATGGAAACTACGACTTTATGCATCGTCCGTTCATTTCGACAAATTCATTTTTACAGGCACAGAATTGAATGCAAGCAAATCGGTTGTACTGATCGATGGGATTCGTCCAAATAGAAATTAGTTTCATATTTTTTCTGCAAGCCAGCGGGATTCGTCGGCAATCGGAATTATAAAATTTCTCACCAATTTTAGGCAAACTAAATGTTTATTAAATAAGAAAACTAATTTAATAAAATAGAGTTAATAGAATTAATTTTTTCTTACAAATTTTTCATCGCTAACCGTGAATTAATCCAAATTTACGCTACTATATTGCATTTTATGTTAGAATTTATAAAAGAACAAATGCCAACGCTTACTCGGGTGATATAAAATCTGTCGTTGTTCTCTCAGATGTCGTTTTCCTCTTAAAGATCAAAGCCCTTACACATTGGCCACCTTTTTCGATAAATTCTCGTTCACATTCACAGCGTATAACGCATGATTTTTCTTTGAGAATTTCACTATTTAAATTGAATATCATATTAATTCCACATTTATCTCCAATTTGGCGACATGCAACATCCCAAATAACTTCGCCGAGGCGACAATTTTCTTTGCCACACTTGGAACTGGAATCTGCGATTTCCTAAAAATCCCAAAGTTAAGAAAGAAAATATTTTTTGTTGAATTTTATTCTTTTTAAATTCTTATTAAAATTCTAAATTCTTAATTTTTGTTGAAATAGAAAATGAATTTCATTTAAGATATGTACCGATTAAAATGGAAACTTGCGAAAATAAAAATATAAAATAAATTATTGAAATAATAAAATTTTATTTATATATTATATACATTTTATTTTCTTAAAATCTTTCACTATCTCTAGTTAAGCCCATAGGATAACCAAACGAGATAAACCTTGCTGTGAAGCAAGTAGGATCTCTAAGAAGGATTTTTTTGAAGGATTCAATTTTGCCTGGAATAGAACGCATTTTGAACATATGACCATTTTTTAAATCACAGAATTGCCATAAAAAGATGAAAATTTTTTTCAATTTCAATTCAGTTAAAATAAAAAATACTCAGGAAGAATGAGCGAAGAATGGCGGGAATATGTATCAAAGTACAGATATTCTTAGGAGCGGGACCATTAAAGATGTTCCTGTCACAAGCTACAAGGATCAAAAGCCTGTATTGCAAAGCAACGATATGGGACAATAATGATGGCAGACATTTGCATGATAATGCCATAAGTATCATTTCAAACTCCGCGGTAGGATACAACGTTAAGCCGCTCTTATATTATTACCAAGGAAACCAAATGGATACAAAATGATTGATAATTTAGTGCCACAGTTGAGGTGAGAGGAGAACAATTATGGTGCTAACGGCGTTAAGGGCAGATTAAAATCTTCACCGATACGAGTCGCTGTGGGCGAAAAGAAAATTAAGAGTTGCAAGGAAGAATCAAACTAGATACATGAAACTTAACATGCAAGAAAAACTTAACACAATGAAATAAGCTAGCATCTTTTACATCAGTGAGATGCACTGGGACTGAGCAGCCGCATTCAGAAGATCACATTATTAACTATTATTTATTACGCGGGATATAGAAAGATTTCGTGAAAACCTTTAATGCCTTCCGGGTTTAACCATCGATCAAGTTTATGCTTCAGCCATTAGTGCACTAGAAGAGAGGAGAGGAGAAGATGACTTCTAAGTTGGAATTTGCTTGGAGTTAAATCCAGAAACCAATTTCTGCCACCACGATTTCCTAGCAGCCAACTATCTATTTCGTTACAGCTATTCATACTGTATTTCTGTCAAAGGAATAACAACATTAATCATTTATTTGAATAATCTTTTTTCAGAAATTTTTGTCTCTATTCATTCATTTTAAGCAAAGGACTTAAAAATAAAAAGGAGTATTCTTAAGAGTTATTCAAATTAGTTTTAAAAAAAAATGGCCAATAATGATGCAGCAAGAACTGCGCATTCTTTGCATATGAAAATTATAAAGAATATGAGACCACTTTCTCTTCATGGTTACTGATTCAGGCAGAGCTGATCAGTACTGATGAGAAGTATGAAAGGCAAGAAAAACGTTTAAAAAAGGTCCCGCTTAAAAAGAGTTGAATCTCCCATTAGGATCATTGTTGAACATTAAGATCAATCAAAGGATGAAACCAATAATTCTAAAGCATCTATTATGGTAATTTCACATTTTCCATCTCCTATTCTGATAGCTCTCACCATTACAGGTTAGGCTGTCGGCTGGCTGTTTGGCTACAAGGGTCAGGAGTGATATTTTTCACTATTCATAATGTAACAACCATTTAAATCATAGCCAATCATTCCTATCATCGCGGTAATGTTCAGACGAGACCGTCTGAAAAACTTGTTAGCCATATCTAAAATCTTCTACTTTTCCTTGACTCCTTAATTAATGAGAACTATTTTGAAAAAAAGGCTAGGCCTGGCATTCTCATTAACTTTCATTTTTATTCGATTCATTTTCATTTTAGTTCGATTTCATATGATAATTTCAATGTTTATGAGCATTATTTTTTTTATGAAAATTTTATAAAAGAAACAAATATTTTTGTTAAAAAATTACTTTAAAAAATTGATTCCTTTTTTAGCATAGCTTTTAGAGATTCAAAAGTATAATTTTTTCGTTCACTCATGCAACTGCCTCCTCTCATGAGCAATCCATCTTTGCATTTGCAAATGAGATAGCAGTTTAGTTCTCAATTTGCTGATAGTGGACAAATATATATACTCAACCAGTTGCATGGACAAATGATTTGTGGTACTATAGTTATATGTGAATCCTCCTTCCTCATCAACTGAATTCGCTTGTGGAACCGTTCAATTTCCAAATTTTTTTTTTGATTCTAATCAAAATTGCGAAATGAAAAATAATCATCAAACGTGGTCTGTATGTGAAAAAATAACCCACTTCGTACAATGGATCATCGTGATTTATGCAACGGTCTGCAATAAGTGAATAGCCATTATCACAAACACATTTCATACAGAAGCCGTTGAAAGGATTGTAACAAGAAAATAGTAATCTTGCATTTGCACCGCAAAACCACGCTTCAACATAGTTTTTCGCGAGGAAAAGGACGATCTGAATTTTCAGATTTTGAAAATATCATTTGAATTATCAGAAATATTATTTTTTTATATAAATAAACTTAGAAAAAAAAGGAAAGCTTAGAAATAAACTTTCTATTATCATATCTTTATAGATAAAGAAGCCAGCGATTAAAAAAAAACGCAAAAATGTGAAACTTACAATATAAAAAGTAAGCATTAAGAACGATTGTTCAACGACCGTGGCCAATGTGAAGATGGCAATAAATTTTTGTGTGAATCTTATTCAGTTTTATCAAAAGCGATATTATGATTTTAATCCGCTTTATTATTACGGGAGGGATTAAATGGTAGAAATTTTATTGAATCCATTTATACAACATTTGTAAATAAAAAATCTTAATTGTGAAATATGTAAATTCTGAAAATTAAAAAATAAAAAAGAAAATCAATAAAAAAGGAAATTATTCAAGAAATTTTTATTATTTAAGAAATTTGGAGAACTATAATAATTATAATTATAATTTACACCAAAAATTTTTAGCGCAATAAATTAATTTTCCAATTTTGAAAAATTTTTCTGCGAAAAAAAATCTTTTCTAATAAAAGTAAGAAAAGCATTCATTTCTGGCAAAATTTGCAAATTTTTGCCAGAAATTAATTTTTCTATAGAAAGAATTTTCAAAATAGAAAAATTAGTTAAAATTTAGTGGTATTTTATAAATCATATGAATATTATTAATGCTCGATTAAATCCTTTTTTAATTTTTTTACTTATAAATTTTAAAAATGAAATTTTTATGCATTCATTTTAAAACTACTTTACAAGTCGAAATATATTTGAAAACATATTTTTAAAGTTTTCAGCACAGTTTATTCCAAATCAGATTTTTGATTCACTTTCAAAATACTGAAGAATCAAAATTAACATTACAAAAAGAATCGAATTATTAATATTCCCTTACCTTTTAGCTTTTTTAACATAATATGGATTCATAGATCTGTTGACGAAAAAATGGAACAAACTACAAGCAGTTTGAGTACTCAGGCCTATGGCTGATGTAGCGAAAAATTAGGCCAAATATACAAACATTTATGACAGAATAGGTATTCTCATTTCTCATAAATTTTATTATTATTTTCATTTGATTCTTTAGGCAATCATTTTCATTTTATTTTTAATTTTTGTCGATTTTTTGGTGCTAAATGCTTTATTTTTCTAAAAGTAAGTTTTATGTCTCTAACAGCTTTGGAACATAATGGTCTTGGTACCATATTTTCAGAGTACTCTATCATACGAGAGGTAATTTAAATACGAGCAAATGCGCCAAATTTAAAAGGACTTATTACTTGAAAATCTTGCTGCTATTATATAGAAATATATATCTAAATTGCCTCAGCGATTTATTACCAAAATATGACAAAAATATTATAGAACATTCACAATGAAGAAAAAATAAAAGAAACATCGATGGATTAGCGAAATACAATAAATTGCTGGAGACTGGAAATTTCTGATATCCATATTATTTACATTTGATTTAGGCAATGGCTATTAGCGATATAATTGAGACATGTGAGTGATACATCTTGGAAATTCGATCTCGAACAATAATCGTCATTGCTATGTATGGGAATCGTTCGATATATGCTCGTCAACACCTGTTATATTTTATTAATTCTCTACTTCACTCTGCTGATACCACAGAATAAGTGAAAACAAGTGAATCTGGGGAAAATTCCAATTTCATAGCTACCGTTTAATAATTAATTGTGGAGGTCAAAATTTATGGAGGAATTATTAAAATTATTAATTATTGTAATTTAATCTTTTCGTAAATCATTATCATCGTCGAAAGATCGCTTCGATGTATGAAATTTGAAATTTGAATTTATAATTTTCAAAAATGTGGAAAAGAAAAGCGTAAAAATTGACGCAATTCGATAAATTAAGCAGATAGTTTAGTGTTCATTCTTCATTAAAATTCGTATAATCTTCTCAAAAAACCGAACCGAATTTTATTTTTTGGCCAAGCCAAGTAATATTTTAAAAATTACAATTATACAATTATATAATATTCGTAGCAATCATTTCGATGGACTCCCATCGTTTTTTTGCCTGAAACAATTCGATTAAATCATATATTCATATATAACAGTATATTTCAACAATTTATCTTATAAAAATTCCAAAGCTTTTGGAAATAATGTTGAAAATAAAGACTAATTAATTTATTGATAAATTTGTTAATAATTTATTGATGAATAATGTGGTACTATGTGGCCAATTACTTTCGCTGAATATTGTAAGCCAATTTTTTATCGAATAGTTGTCACGTGGTCCCTAATTTTTCCCATGAAAATTAATAGGATTAATTCTCAATATTAATTCTGATAAAACCAAATAGAATTCGCACAAAAATTTATTGCCCATCTTCACATTGGTTCCGGCCGTTGAATAATTTTTTATGTTCGCTTTATATATTGTAAGTTTCGCATTTTTTAATTTTTTTAACTTCACTTGCAAAGATATATTTAAAAAAGCAGCATTTTTTCCCAGTCTTATCTCTTTATCTCTTAATCTAAATAATCTCTTTAGAAAATATATCTCTTTAGAAAAGAGATAATCTCTTTAGAAAAGAGATAAAGAGAGAAAGAGATTCTGATAGTTCTGATAATTTAATTTTTATTCTCAAAATGAAAATCTGTTAAATATTATAGGAATATAATAATATTATGGTAAATTCAGATTGTCCTGTTTCTTCTCAAAAGCCATACAGAAGCGTGGGTTTGCGGTTCAAATGCAAGATTGCTGTTTTTTTGTTACAATCCATTCAATGGCTTCTGTATGAAATGTGTTTGTGATAATGGTTATACACTTATTGCAGATCTCTGCACAAATCGAAATGATCCATACTACAGAGTGAGTTATTTTTTTTACGAACAGACCATAATTGATAATTAATTTGTATTTCACAATTTCATTTAGATGCAAAAAGATTTGGAACTCGAACGATTCCGCATACGAATTGAGTTGATGGGAAAGGAGAATCCAAATATAACTATAGTACCACATATCATTTGTCCAAGTAACATGGTGTTGGTTGAACATATTTGTCCACCATCAGAAAATTGGGGACCAAACTGCCATCTCATTTGCAAATGCAGAGATGGATTGCGTAAGATAGGCGATAATTGTGTGATAGAAAGAAAAAAATAATTTTACCAAGTTATTGTAATTTTTCTAAATTATTTTTAGTATTATCGAGGCTTATTAAATGTTTTTATATTGTTTGATAAATTTCTAATAAATTTATTTATTAATTCTCATTTTTCATTTTAGAATGGAAAGTATCTATGCAATAAAATGTAGAATCATAATTTTAATCATAATTTCTCCAGTATCTTGAACCATCACTTTGTGATTCACTTCAAAATCTAAAATCTAATGGTTCCTAATCTTTTTTGCTAATCCACCCGTTTAGGCTCTTGCTCACAGCTCTTCTTCCGATAAAATGTTTTTAAAAATTAGTTAAGAATTAATTAATTAAAAGTTAATTAAAATTCCAGGTTAGCAGGCTAATAACAATACAGTGTTTAAATCTTAAGTTATATGGAAATAGAAAACCGATTTTTTAAAAGCTATTATTTATTTTTTCGAAAAGCAAAGTATTTATTAAGCCCTTCTAATGAAGAAAATTCATAACAAAGCAGCAAATTCAAAAATTCAAAATTATAAAGAATAGAAAAGAAAATGAACATAAAAATTAACGAGAAATTAGTGCCTATTGTGGTACCACAAATGTTTATATATTTGGCCTAAAGTTTCTCTGCATCAGCATAACTGCTCAACTGTGCTCCACTGTTTGCAGTTTGTTATACTTTTTGGTCAACAGATTTATGATTATAATATAATTGCGTCAAATCCACGTTATGATAAATATAATATGGTGAAGGAAATAGAATAAAAAAATTTTTTTTGCGGAACTCAGGTTGAAATTGATATTTGCTTTTGCAATTAGTAATTTGAAAGCGAAATGTTTAAAGCTTTAAAAGTATTTTTTCAAACATTTCAAATTATTTTCAAATTTTAAAATTTCAAATTTTGAATTCAATAAATTCAAATTTCAAAAAATAATTCTAAAATAAATGCAAAAAAAATTTGATCTTTAAATATATAAATAATATAAAAAATTTAAGGAAAATTTATTCGAGAATTAATTATTCCTGAAACTTGAAGGATAATAATATTTGATTTATAAAATATCACCAAAATTAAACTAATTTTCCCCATTTTAAAAATTTTCTTCCGCAAGAAATTATTTCTAACAAAACTGAAAATGAATAGCGAACCCATGCAACAACAACAACGATGAACCACAATTGCCTTCTAGAAGAAAATTTCAACTTTTCAAAGAATTTCAAATTTCAAAGAAAATTCCAACTAGTAGTAATGCCTAATTTCATAGGAAATGCGATAATTGAAACCATCCTTTGCTTACTAATAGTGAAACTAAATTGGCGATATTTATGCCATATCTTCAAAACTTGCTTTTCTTTGATCTTTGATACAAGCTTACTAGAATTTGATTTTGGACTCAGAATAATGAATAACTGCAAGAAAAATTACAAAATCTAAGGCATTTTTAGACATAAATATTTATTTTGATTTCTAATACTTTTTTCAAAGATTTGTTGGGCATTTTATAATAATATTATTTCGACTTTGGATTACGCTGATTCACTTACAAACGGGCTCCTTGCCCAGTGCGACAAGCCGGAGTAGCGAGTCTAGCCAGCAAGGTTGGTTTCCAAAAATATTATCCTATTTGATCCATTTTATAATTCTATATCCATTTTTCAGACAATTCTGGTTACTATGTTTTGCCGTTGGAACTATTGACTGATGCAAAGAAATAAGTTTGAGAAGAGTGTAAATATTTATTTTTATTTATTCAGATAAATCGCTGTATAAGTATTATAACAAATTTGGCAATTTGGCAAATAGCCGTCAGTAATTTTCGAAGAATTGAATTTAAATTGTAAAAGAATGATAACGATAAACGAGCGAGTGTTTTTATTGTTTTTCGGAATTTTTAAAAAATAAGGAAAATGGAAAATAAGGAAAATGTTTGCAAATGATATTGCAATTTATTTAGAGCGAAATTCTATATAATTCGTGGCGTGACAATAGCACGTTCGCATTTGTCACCCATTCGAATGAATCCATTGAGGCATCCGCAAAAGTATATGCAGGAACTTCTCATAAGGTTGAAACATAGGGGTTTTAGCACCATATCTTCAGGGCATTATCGTAGAAGCAGTCGCGCCAAATTCGAAACGACTTATAACCTGAAAATCTTATTGATGTCACCTGAAAATATTATTTATAGAAATATTTGTCACCAATTTACCAGAATGATTTATTAGCTAAATCTAAATATTATCTAAATATGATAAAAAATGTAAAACACTCACATTGCAGAAGAATAAGTAAAAGAACAATGAAAGAAACAAGCCCATCAGGAGACAGTGCTGTAATCATTGGCATTTGTTGTCACCATTTTCGATTATATATCCATGAAGAATGGGGAGAGGGGAAAAATATGTCATCGATGGAGATTATATAGAAATTTATGGGGAAATTATCAATCATTGTCATTTATAAAATTTAATCTTTTCGTAAATCACTATCACTGTCGGAAAATTGTTTCGCTTCGATTTATGCTTGAAATTTGAATTTATAATATTCAAAATGTGGCAAAGAATAGTGTAAAAATTCGACAAATTAAACAGTCAGTTTAGTATTTATTATTATTCGTATAATCTCAAAAATTCGAACCTAATTTCTTCATCATTTATGCCAAGCAATATTTTAAAAATTACAGTTATACAATATATTTGTAGCAATCATTACGATGAATTCCCATCATCACCAGAGCTGATTTTTCGATTCTTGTCTACTACACGATACCTGGTTTATTTGTCTCTCTTGATGGAGAAGTTCCATAGGATTCAGATATTATTATTCTCTACGATTTTCTTAAGAATTTGCCATCTTGCGAGAACCTAAGCCATATATACTGAATACATGTTCTTGTAGATACTATTTTGTTATGCCTTTCAGCATACGTTGTTCCTTAATTTTATATCATGTTACCATGTGTTGGATGGTTTCCGGCACGTTTTTGCACAGTCTGCATCTAGAGTCCTTTCTAATGTAGTGAATCCTTATCCCTATCAATCTGATGCTTGCTGCTTGCTGCTATAAACAATGTTTCACTTTTGCCTTTTAGTCTGGTTCTTAAATCACTGGTAGGATTAATGATTTCATATTGTCAGATATCTGTGGATGGAAGGCCTTGTTTTGCCATGGTATTCCATGGTATTTTCTTGATCGTTTCACAGGTCTGCGTATGCTTACGATAATTATTAAGTAGAAGTTCAAAAAAAATTTCTGTTTCTGTTCAAAAAAAATCGGTTTCTTGTTTTAATACAATTTTTTAAGATTTAGCCAACTTTGTCCTTACTAATTTTACTAAAAACATTTTATGGGAAGAGGAGCGGTAAACAAGACAATAAACCTAGAATACTAGGCGATTAACCAAAAAATGCTAGGAGAATCTATGGTTTAGACTTTGAAGCGAATCGCACAAATGATGGAACAATCGTACTGGAGAAATCTTTTTTTCTTCCAATCATTACTGATTAAACTCATCGGCTGGCTTATCACATTGGACAAATCATCTTCCTTGGCGATAAAGATACAAGTGATTCACTCTGATTTTTAGACAGTTTTTTCCTAAGGGAAATAGAGCCCTAGTATCGGTATTCCAAGTTGAGCAACAACCACTAAGTCATCCTAATGTTAGAGAAATTAAGATTCTATATTTGGTCAATATTTTCCATCTTTAAAGTAAAAAATAAGCCAGTGAATTAATGAATAAATGAATATTTATTAATTATATTACATTCAAAATAACACTTATGAAAGCACTTAATAAGTTTCAATAAAACTGAAAATATTTTTTTTAATAGAAAAATTGCAAAAACTTTCTAACTATCATACTTTTTTCATCCCATCTCGCAGTTATCATCTCTCTTGCGCAATTCATCCACACATTTGCAAATGCGATAGCACTTTAGTCCCCAATTTTTTGATATTCAATATGTCTAGTACCATATTACTTAGACAACTAATTTGTGATACTACAGTTGTATTTGGATTCTCTTCTTTCATCAGCTGAATTCGCTTGTGGAATCGTTCAGTTCCAAATTTTTTTGAATCTAAATAAAATTACAAAATGCAAATAATTATTATTTACAAAATAGTTAAACAATAATTATAATTATTAATTAATTAAATAGTTTATTAATAAATAATATATGGCATATTTTACAAGAAAATTGCATTGGATTTCACATTGTGCAATGGATCATCTCGATTTGGCCTGCAATAATTAAATAACCATTATCGCAAATATTTTATAAGCACAGAAACCGTTGAATGGATTGTACAAAAAAACAATTATCTTGCATTTGAACCGCAAAACATGCTTTTGCGTGATTTTTGAGAAGGAAAAAGGCAATCTAAATTTATTGTTTTCGATAATCAAATTTTGACAATAATTGTTGAATTATTAGAATTTTTTGCAGAGATAAGATTGGGAAGAAAATAAGATTGCTTTTTTAAAACGCCTCTGCAGATGAAACTAAAATATTAAAAATATGGAACTTACAATATAAAAGGCGAACATTAAGAATCATTCATTCAACGACCGCGGCTATAATTTTTAATATCATTAAAGTTCGCTAAAATTTTTCAGTGCCATAACGTAATAAAAAAATTTTAAAAATTTTTCTGCGAAAAATTCATTCCTTTCTGAAAAATAGAAAAATTATTAATTCGCGAAATCTATGATAGAAAATTATCCGCAAGCATTCTTCGGTGAGAAATTGGCGAATTTTGATAAAATTCCATTACGACTGTTTTTTTAAATGCCCTCCCGTCAATGTTCAAGGAATGTTGGCATCGATCAGTGGCAATTTTATCTCTTAGATGCAGTCTTTCAACCAACATGCGGGCAAAATTCTGGGAACAACTGGAATCCTCTCATTTTTCGTGTGAATTATTATCGTAGAAGAGATTAAAACGTTTTAAGCAAATTTTCAAAACGACCTTATTCGCCTTACCTCACAAATACAACCTCACCATTAGGC